TAACAATGTTAGACTTTTATTTTCCCCGTGGGTGTTCTCTATGTTCTTCAGCACTTTTTGGGGTGGAGCCTTATGCTCTTAGGAGTATTCACATAACAGAGCAGTTAATTTGCAGATTTTGTCCTTTGTAAGATATTAAGTGACCATTTCTAGTATCATCTGGTCTCCATTTGTTTTGAAGAGAGTAGACTTCCAGTACAAAAGACCACGGATACAGAGCAAGTAATGAAAAGGAGAGTGTATACTGAATTGTTCATACCCATTGTCTCTGTAGGCTGTGCTGGTGACTTTCATGGTCTACCTTGTGTCATCCTTTAATATTTGAATTTTGCATAATGAATAATGTCACCATTTCTTTAAAAAGTAGAAGTTTAATTCTCAGTGATAGACGTAGGTGCAGCAGTAGATACAAAGACTTTCATTATTCTGACCCCCACCCCAACTCCCCCCCCACCGAACCCCCAATGATATAGAAGCTTTGCTTATGTGAAGAAAAGCACAAAAAGTGTTTTTGGGAGTGCCTGGGTGGCTCAGTGGGTTAAGCCTCTGCCTTTGGCTCAGGTCATGATCCCAGGGTCCTGGGATTAAGCCCTGCATCAGGCTCTCTGCTCAGCAGGGGGCCTGCTTCCTCCTCTCTCTCTGCCTGCCTACTTGTGATCTCTGTCAAATAAATAAATCTTTAAAAAAAAAAAAGTGTTTTTGGGTTTTTTTAAATTTCTTGGTGATTTCAGTGTTCCAGTCATTTTGTAAACCAGATTTCCCAGAGCATCCCCTAAGGGTGATATTGGCCCCATTTATAACCACTGCCCTATGTGGAGGATAGTGAAGTTCTACATTTGGTGTCTGTAGAGATTGAGAAATTGAGAATTGAGAGATTGAGAAAATAGAATTGACTGAAACTGTGAACTGATTATATATGGAAGAGCTAGCAACTAGAAAGAATCGGGTATGATGACCAGGGTTTGGGACTAGATGAAAGAATTCATTTGCCTTGAAGGGGAACTTAAAAAAAGAAGTAGGACTTGGGGATGAGCTTTGAGTTGCCTGGAGGACATTTATAGAGAGCAGTACTTGGAAATGTAGGCCAGTTGGTTGGGGAACGAGATGGATTTCAGGTTACTAAAACCATAGGTAGGGGTGCCTGGGTGGCTTAGTTGGTCACGCATCTGACTCTTGGTTTCAGCTCAGGTCATGATCTCACGGTCATGGAATTGAGCCCCATATCCAGCTCCGCGTTCTGTACCATCTACCTCAGCTTCTCTCTCTCTCTCCCTTCCACTTGTGTGTGCGCTCTCTCTCTCTCTCAATAAATAAATAAGATCTTTAAAAGAAAAAAAAATAAAAGGAAAGAAAAGAAAAGAAAGAAACCACGGGTAGATGAGATCAATCGGAATATAAAGTAAGAACACAGCCAAGGGTGGAACCCGGAAGGACATCAATGTTGTAGTAAAGATGAGTCATTGAATTAAATGCAGAAAGAAAGGGCTTTTGGAGAGAAAGGAAAACAGCTAAGGGAGAGCAGTGCACGGAAGCAAGGGGGTATACAGTGCTCAGTATTCACACAGACTCCTTTCCTGCAGCTTTAGCATAGAGTTCATAAATGTTGGTTTTAATATGAAACCAGTATATTTAATTATTCCTTGCCCTCGCCCCCACCCCAGTTGACTGCCTTGAATTTTCAAGTTGAATTTCCTGTGTAAGGCTTCTTTGTCTTTGGGATAGATACAGCATACAGCACCGTTCAGCATCAGGAGCAAGCTTACCTCCAGTTTGAGAATTGTAGGTGTATGGGTTTCCATAGCCCTCTAGAATGCTAACAGTGGCTGGTTTTCTCCCAATTGCATTAATAATTTTGGCTCAGCCTGAAGAATCCTGCTGAGGTATATTATGAACCAAAAAACCTTTTTTTGAAGGGATGGAGGAAATTGGTTGTATTTGAAAGCTAAATGGATTTTTCAATTATATATTTTTGTCCATTTCCATTCATGAACTCCAGTTATGTCCAAAACGTAGTTTAGGCAGTTTTAAAATAGTGTGAAGAAATAGTTTGAACATATAGAAAAGTTGAGTAACAAAGAAAACCCATATACCCACCATCTAGATTTAAAAATTAAGATTTGTACCATATTTGCAAACATGGTACTCTGGCTTAGAAGTAGTTGGCATATTCTGGGAACAAAAAGAACATCAGTGTGGCTGGACCGCTATGATAAAGCCCGGGGCACTGGGCCATGACTTGGAAATGGGTAAAGCCTAGGAGGGCCGTGGTAGGAATTTGGATTTTATTATAAGGGCAGTACAGAATTATTGAAGGGCCTTCATCAATGGGCTCTTGTTACAAATCCCTAAAACTCCTTCAAATACTTGTAATGAAATATTGCTGATGGTAAAGAAGGAAAAGAGGGAACCTGGAAAGGCAGGCAGGTCCTTATGCTGAAAGGTATCTTTTAACCATCTTAATCTTTGTTTACCATTGCTTCTCCGCCCGGGTATCACCATACTTGGGATCATCAGTTCCAAAACTCAGACATGTGCCTGAGTGTGTTTCATCTCCAAGGATCTTGCTGAGGAGTGTCCACTTCTTGTTTTGGGTACTTGTTACTAACTCTATTTCCTCAGAGTTAAGTCTTACTAGTTTATATGTTCTGCAAAATTTGGCTACGTAGTATACTAATTAAAAGGAATGATTGTGTCATGCTTCCTTTTTCCCCTCACAGAAGCACATTATATGGGTTCTCTTCAGCAGCTGTACCCTTTCTGCTATGACGAGTGTTTGGTTTATGGCAGAACTTTTTAAAACCCCCTTTGCCCTGGAAAGTCACTTCTTTCGCCATTGAGCCAGAGCTGAAAATATCTCTGTTGCATAGCACCGTAACACTTCCTGCAAAATACCATTAAACATTCCTGCCCTCCACCCAGCATTGACTTGTAGCATCATTGCTATTATTTGCAGAGTACAAATAGGAAAGATTGTATTTTCAGAGAATTTGTTGTGATTGTGAATTCACTGTGTTTATGAAAAAGCAGCCTGCATTAACCTCTCAAAAAAAAAAAAGTAATGGGAAAGAGTGATCCAAGATTTGTGGATGTCTGTGCCTATGAACATAATTTGTGTACCTAGTCAGGTAATCAGATAATGTAATAGCCACTTGGGATAACTCAGTTATAATTGATCTAAACTTCTTGTCATAGAAAAGATATTTAGGTACAATTTTATGCATCTTTGGATTTTGAGAACCTGTGGTTTTCTTTGGTCCTGTGATCAAGCAGATTTACAAGCTGATAGAAAGATGGTAAGTTATATAGGTGATAACTTGGGTGGAAAGATTGGTCAGAACAGGTCATATCAAAACATGTCAAGAGGGGCACCTGGGTGGCTCAGCGGGTTAAGCCTCTGCCTTCAGCTCAGGTCATGATCTCAGGGTCCTGGGATCGAGCCCTGCATCAGGCTCTCTGCTCAGCAAAGAGCCTCCTTCCCGCCCACCACCCCACCCCCGCCTGCCTCTCTGCCTATTTGTGATCTCTGTCAGTCAAAAAAATAAATAAAATCTTTAAAAAAAAAAATGAAAAAACATGTCAAGAAATAACACACTTATTCATGTTTTAATTGTAGGCTTAACATTAGCGTTAATTTGCATGCTCTTCCCCTCAAGTGTGTGTTTATAAACAGATATGCAGGTCTTTGTATCTCAGACTTCAGAGAAAGAACATTCAAATACTTTATTCAAGTAAAGTCTTAGGCAAAGTCCAAAAGAAGTGTTAATGATGCTGTGCAGTGGAGATATTTTGTGTTGACATGGGGGAAAAAAACTTGGGTGGAGGTGGGCAGTGGGCCCCAGGGACAGTTAAATATAGGAGATTGAAAGTCACAGTTTGAAAACCACTGACCTAAGTGCTCTGTAAGGTTCTTCTCAAAAATGTTACCTTTTGGTATCTTATATGGGGTTGTTTAATGTCTATGAACTAACTTCTTTCAGTTTATCTAGTAAAAGTTATTATAAGTTCTGACACGTTCCCAAGTTACTTCCATTGTCTGTCTTGTTAGTAACTTTGTTTTTTCATGGTGACTTCTTGGAATAGTTGATGTCCTCCTTTTACATGATGTAATATTGTGGTTTATGTGGTTGAAATACTGTTTTCTGCTACCCACAAAAAATTAAGAACTTCCAGAAGTTCATTATTCCCAGGGTTTTATCCAGTGAGTTCCTTCATAGGAGATAGTCTTATCCAGGCAGAAAGAGTACACATTGAAACTGTTACTTAAGGGACTCGAGGATCTGCCTGGAGATTTGCTCAAGGCTTGGTCCAAGATTCTCTCCAACTCTGAGACCCTGACTGACTAAAGAGAAGGAGGTGTGTGCCCACTAGGTGCTTGGGAGGAAATAGTGTAAACACTGGCCAAGACCTAGAGAGTGAGCCTGTTGCTAGTGCTGTTTGGCTGAGCTCCTTACCTAGCTTTTTGCCTCAGTTTCCTCAACTGTAAAATAGAGATATCTATTAATTAGAGGTATAGTCCAGTGACTAAGGACACTTTGGATTAAGACAGACCTGAGCTGGTTTTATCGTTTAGTACCTTGAGTCAGTTTCTTGACCTCATTAAAGTTCACTTGTAAATGGGAGTAGAAATGGTAGTAATGTCCCTCAGGGAATTGTTTAAAAAGATCACATAAGGTGATGAATTAAAGTGCTCAGTATGGAGCCTGGCAGTACTAGTTGCCCTGCTCATCGGCACCAGTGTGTTCCTCCTCAAATGAGTGGTTAGGAGAGCAGGTGATAAAAAAGGTATTTTGAAAAGTACAAAGTGTTCTGTAATTCTAAGATACTTCTGCATTATCATTTCCTTTGATTATTTGTGGGTTTCTCAGTTCCTGCTCATTTTGAAAGTTCTGTCATAAAGTGACTTTCTCAAACACTGATTTTCTTCCCATGTTAGGATTTAAAGGGCATGTTTTTTTCTGTTGACCCCACTTTTTCTCACCTGTGCCTTTCTGTGTCCGCAGGTAAAGCAGGCAGAGCGCAGCGAGGCATCCATCGCTGCCGCCATGCCGTTCCCATTCGGGAAGTCGCACAAATCTCCAGCAGACATTGTGAAGAACCTGAAGGAGAGCATGGCCGTTCTGGAAAAGCAAGACATATCTGACAAAAAAGCAGAAAAGGTATGTATTTGGCTTTATTTTATGTTTTCAATTTTTTGATTAGGAGCAAATACAAGACAGATTATGGGGTGATTTTAAAAGATCAATAATTCCCAATTTGGAGTTTTTAAAATAGAGTCCTAAAGAAGCATTTGCTAATGCTTAAACACCATATACTTTCTTCTGTACTGCCATCTAATAGATTGATTTCTAACTTTTTTCTCGGTTTTTCATTTCAGGTTTTCCAGTTTGTTTAAATTGGGGGGATGGTGGTTTTGTTTTTGTTTTTGTTTTGTTTTCATTGTTGAAGTGGTTTATCTGATTCCTGAAATCGTTGTTTCCACTGGTGGTTGTCTTGGAGCAGTACCTCTCCTGGTTTCCTTTCCTCCTTTCCGTGTTGCCTTTATCCATGACTAGTGTTTCCCTCTCCCCAGTCACCATAGCCTAAAACTTGGCTTTCATCCCATTCTGTCTCCTTCTTCTTTAAGATGTGATCTTTCACAAAATAGTACTAACCCCTACTTCCTAAGGGATTTATGAATTGATCATGACATCCATTCCCACTTGATGAAGACCCTCATGACCTTTCTTAAGGACCTTAGCAGTAGCTTAGTCCTTAGTATTCTTTCTAAAATACCTCCCCTACTTTAAACCTTCCTTGCAGACCCCTCCCATGGCTCACAAGACCCTTCATGACCTGGTCTCTGCTTTTCTAGGTGATTTTCAACCCTTCTTCCCTTTATTCTGTGTACTCTAACAATCTCAGCTTGTCTCTGTTTGTTAGAGCAACTAAAGCAAATAATCAGCTATACTGTTTTTAATGCCTTTGTCTTATCCACCCCCTCCATTTCTACCTCAGACCCACTCATCTTTCAGAACCACCCTGTACCTTTCTTTTTTCCTAGATGGCTTCCCAGAGTACTCCCTTTCCTTCCTCATCCTTATCCCTAAAACAAATCTCTACCTTTTGGCCACCCCTTTGGAAATGCCAGCACTGCCACCATCTTAAACATGATTTTGTTCGTGTCGGATTTTTGTCTCCCTTATTAGAACATGGGCTCTTTGACCCATGTGTTATCTCTGGTCCACTTAATGGCCTCCACAGTACCTGACTCCCATGGGCTGGGACTCCCTATTATTATTTGAATGAGTGTTTCAACACTCATTGGAATGACATTTACCACCCTGTTGTTTGTTTTAGAAGGTTGTTTCCTGTCTTGGGTTGTTGAATATTTGACTGCTTAACATCTTTTTTAAGTCCAAGGCTCTGGTTTACCTGTGTTCTTGTGAAGAAGAGAAGTTCATACTCATGGGATTAAGATTTGTTACAGGCTTTCAGTTAGATCTTCCCTGGAAATTTTAGTCTCTCATATTCCCATCATAAGATATTGATAAATGTTAATGATATGATAAAACTTAAAAGACAAAAGGTCTGGTGTAACAGATGACAGCTAGATTCTCATATTTGTGTTTGCATTCAGTCTGCTGTCATGTGTTAGTTATTTTGGTTGAAATACATAAAGAAAATCTGGCCTCATACAGATGTATAGGTAGGAAAAGGAGGTATGTTTTAAGAAAAGGCTTTCAAATAATTTTGAAACCAAAATTCAACAATTGATAGTTCCTTGGTTGTAATAGAACCTGAAAGTATTGTGAATATACTTTTCATACTCTGTGTTTTGAAAAGATCCTTTTTTTTTTTAAAGATTTTATTTATTTGTTAGAGATCACAAGTAGGCAGAGAGGCAGGCAGAGAGAGAGAGAGGAGGAAGCAGACTCCCTGCTGAGCAGAGAGCCTGATGTGGGGCTCAATCCCAGGACCCTGGGATCATGACCTGAGCCGAAGGCAGAGGCTTTAACCCACTGAGCCACCCAGGCACCCCTAATACTCTGCATTTTGAAAAGATCTTTTATCCATGTATGATTTTGTAACATTCATTGATCATTTAGAAAGTATTAGATAACTGACATATACACATCTTCCAAATGCTAACACATTATACAATATCAAAAGTTAATATTTTTAAGTAGTACTACTAATCCCATCAGAAAAGTCTTAAGTATTGGGAGGTGATCTGCATTTTGTATTCAAAATTTAGATTTGGTAACAAATACTGTTGGGTGTTTTCTCTAAAAGTGACAGGTTTACTTCATTCATTTTCAAGAAAATATCTGCCAGATGTCCAAGCCTGAATGATATGTCAGTTTTCTTTCAAGTAAAAATGATTTTCCATTAAAAAAGTGGCTTGTTCAGCTCATAGCTCAACAATTGTACAAGTACGTTTCCTTAAGACTGCCAGTTACACTTCTGGAAGGGTCAGAAGGTGCTTATGCATGCTCCCCATTTATCACACCAATGTTAAAAAGACATGTGTGTACTCAAAGATCAAAATTTAATAAAATGAATATTTTGTTGCTGCTTCCTCCTGACATTCTTAAGTGAAACTGACCTTTTTTTTTTTTTTTTTTTTTTTTTTGTTAACTTCATGATGATATAGATTACAGTGATAGCTAGTACAGTTTGCTGTCCATGTCTTGATTCAGTCTCGGAGGTCATTGCTATCAGTGCAAATGGCAGTATAACAGAAAAAGGCAAACAATGTGTTAGTATTGACTGAAAATAATTTTGACCTCATGGTTCCCTTGAAAGGGTCTCAAGGGTCCCCAGAGGTCTATACTTTGAAATCTGTGGTAGTTAATGGAAGGTGTATATGTGTGTAGGTCAGTTGTGTCCGGTAGGTGGAGTATCCTAATTTAGATGGGTTATGTGAGGAAGCTTCCTTGAGGAAGTGGCATTGGAGATGAGTTCTGTAATTATAGAAAACAAGTTTAAGACCGCCTGGATGGCTAAGTCAGTTAAACGTCCAACTCTTGGTTTCCGCTCAAGTCATGATCTCTGGGGATCAAGCCCTGCTCTCTCAATGCTCTCTCTCACTCGCTCACACACGCTCTCTCACTCTCTCTATCTGTTGGAATTCATATCATCTACTTTACTAAATCAGTGGTTTTCAGCCAGGGGCAATTTTCCCCTTTATGGGACATTTGGCAATGTCTAGAGACATTATCGGTTTTAACAATGGAGGGAGGACTGCCACTGGCATCTAATTAGTAAAAAGGCCAGACATGTGCTAAGCATGGGACAGCCCCACAACCAGGAATTATCTGGCCCAAAATGTCAGTAACACTGAAGTGAACTGCTGCTTTAAACCTTAGCAAAAATAGACTTCCTGCTATTAGGATAAACAAAGTAAAGAAAAATAGTTGAATTTATGAAAAATTTCATTTCAGAGAAAAAGGACAATTCTGAAAGGCAATCCATTTAAATTATTTACTCTGAAATAGATTAAGAAGAGGGAGGAGGACCATGAATTTTCTGACTCACCTTGTTATCAAGCTTCAAAAGAAAGTAGCAACTGATGCAGATGGTGAAGAGGGAACTGAGACCTAAAAACAATGAAAAGATGAAAATCTCATCACTCGTTAAAAACCATGAAAAACAACTTAGACTTCTTACTTCAGATTGAAAACTTGAAGGTAGTCCCAATAAAATCATGCTAGCTATGACTTAGTTAGCATTGTTCTGGAAATCCAGCCAGTACATAAAGAAATTGTTTAGAAATAAACATAAATCTACTACAAATAAGCAGGGAAAATTACATTGTTGAGATATTCATATATCTGTGTAAAACACAAGTAAACCAGTTTGAAAGTGAGAGTTCACCAGGGCAGCTAAATTGATAGAGAATTCATAGCACCCCTAAATGCCAATCAGAACTATTTAGAAATTGTTATATTTTAAGAAAGTACTTCATTTACAATAGCAACAAAAAAGTATAAGATGTCTGGGAATACTTTCATCAGGAAGTATGAAGAACCTATATGTAGAAAGCTATAAAACCTTATTTGGAGGCACCAAAGAATACCTGGGCCATGTTATCAGCTGGCATACAGTTAAGATGCCATTTCTTCTCAAATTAATTTTTAAGCTTAAAGCAATTTAATTCAAATGCCAGTAAGATTTTTGTAATTTAAAAAATTATTCTTAAGTTCTAGAAGAGTAAATAAAATAGCTACAAAGTTGTGGCAGGATTGAAGGAATATAAATTCTGCTTTATTTTGAAGCAAAACACTTCACCATCCGCTCACAGTCTTTCCAACCATAGTTAATGAAACTCGGTCCTTCTTGTTTTTCAGGCCAAGAGTCTTGCATCATGCATGACTCCTTTCACGTTTCCCATATCCAGTTCATGAAGCAAATCCATTCACTTTATTTGGGGGGAAGAAAATTTAAAAAGCCAGAATCTAACCACGTCTCCCATTTTGCTAGTTACCACTTTGGTCTGGGCTACCATTATCTCTGCTCTGGATTACTACAGTATCCTTTTAACTGGTCTCTCTTGCCTTCCTACAAGCATAGTGGTTCTTTCAAAACATGAGTCAAATAATATTTTCCTTAGAGTAAAAGTCAGAGTCCTTACAAGGGTCTGAACTAAGATCTACAGGCCAAATCCTTGTCTAGGCCTGTTTTTATGAGGCTTGTGAGCTAAGATTGGTTTTTACATTTTTAAAGGATTGGTTTAAAAAGCAAAGAATATGCAACAGCGATCTTATGTGGCCTGCAAAGCTTAAAATATTTGCTGTCTACCCTTTAGCGGAAAAATACACAATGACCCTTGCCCTGGACAGTCAGGCCTGTGGCTTCAATGGTCCCTTCCCCAGGTGCTCCCCCACATTGACTTCCTTTCTTTATACACTCCATTCAGGCTTTTGCCTTTAAGCCTTTGCATTTGGCTGTTTCTTTTGCCTAGCATGTTCTTCCTCCAGCTCTCTGCTTGGCTTACTCCCCACCTTCAAGTCTTTGCTCAAATGTCACTTTTCACACAACGCCCTATTTAAGATTTTATTTATTTATTTGACAGACAAACAGACACCACAAGCAGGCAGAGAGGCAGGCAGAGAGAGAGGAGGAAGCAGTCCCCCTGCTGAACAGAGAGCCTGATTTGGGGCTCGATCCCAGGACC